GCAGCAGCACATGGGCATGCATGCTGGGGAGCCCGGGCAGGTGCATTGGGTTCAGTGGCTGTGTCACCACTGTAGTGGATGGTGGGGGTTCGGCAGAGTCCCTCGGCAGGAGGTGACCTATCACAGCTCCGTGTTGATTTCAAACTTCCTTTTTGTGGTTTATGTCGCCTCGATTTATTCATTTCCTTGTAATTTACAGATAGACATCAGTGCTTGCTATATTTAAACGGTGCCTGTATCTGTGTGGGGATTGTAGGTAAGCCGTTTTATTTGTAGAGCGATGGTTTTAAAGGAAAGTAAGACTCAAGAGTCACCCTTCAGGCAGGCACTGTCTCGTTCACAGATATGGGTGACATGTATCTCTGCCCAGGGACACCAGGCAAACACCCTCCCCAGCCCATAGCACCTGGAACGTAGCTCCTGGCTCCTCCACTTTCCCGCCACACCACCATAGAGGAGGCTTGTCCGCCTCTCTCCAATCCACTGTACATAGCACAGTGACCATCTGGGCTAATTGGTCCAAATAATAACATCATTAATGCAGTGCAATGAGAACTTGGTTATATCGGGAGTGAGAGAAGTTCTGGAAGAAAAAACAGGTTTGTTTAAAAGGAAGAAAAGATTTTGTACTACCCCCATGCAAATGTCTGTCATTTGTTTCACTAATTTCTCTGGAAAGTCCAAGCCTAGTGAAAGCTACTGTGACTGGTGCTTCAGGATGACAAGCGATGCTAAAAATCACTTGTCAGCAACTCCTCTGGAAGGAGGATCTCCAAATATTTGGGGTAAAGATAAGACAAAGGATGAGGATAACATGAATTCATCGGACCCGGCCTGGGGTTTTCAGCTGTGTTGTGAAAAACCCCTTGCTCTTAAACAGCTCTGACCTTTCCTATTTCTTGGAGACTGACGTCTCTACAGTAGATACATGATGAGGTCACTCACCCTGTTTTTGAAGTCTTCCTCTCTCGCTACTCCTCACATGGGTTTTTCTGTGGGAGGGAACAGTCATGAAGAGGGCTAAACCTCTTGATCATGTGTGAAAAAAGGAAATGAAAATGAGTTATTGGAGATGTAACGAGACCTGACCCATAGCTTTGGTTTCTGAGGACATGCAGATCGTGAAACCCAGGAGAAGTCTGAAAGGGAAAAGGCAGGGTGTCTAGCTCTAAAAGTGATTTTATCTGAAGCTAGATGCTCTATGCTAGAAACTGGAAATGCTCAGCCTTCGCATTTACAAGAGAACTATGAATGGCTGTAACAGGCGCGTGAGAAACAACTGATTCAATCACCTCCTTGAGAAAAAGTAATCTGAATGTGGTGGCTTGGGCTGAAATAAAGCGTACACCCGCTTCCTCCGGGAAAGCCTAGCATAAGTGATTGCCACGAGTATATTCTGCTGAACGTTTTATGGTTTCTAGGGTGAGAATCACAACTGGAAAGACCCACATTCCATCCTATTCACAACTATAGGAATTGTGTTGTTCTCTAGAGGCTGAACTTCAAAGGTGGTGCCCCATCATGCCAGGCACTGTGCAAATAGTAAGAAGCACTGCCTGCCTTTAGATCTTGCTGTCAGTGTAGTGAAAGATTTAAAGAGGACCTAAGAGTGGGCCAAAAAGTGTTACCTAGACCCACAACAAGGTATTTAGCAATGCGCATTAGATGGCTGCAATCACCACTAAAAGAAAATTTCTTCATGACTGTGTACCAAGGCTGGTACCTGCATTAGACCAGGAGGAGAAGGCGCAAGACTATATGACACAAACAGTCCCTTGATACATGAACAGTGCCTAACCATGGACAGAGACAGGCTAACGCATTTTGGAGGCAAACAGCAGAAGTGTCTGACTTCTGCCTGTGCTGCCCTGGCCATCACCAGCTCGGAGAGAAATTCCGTGTCTTGCAGACCTGAAGAAATCAGGACATTGCTTTAGTTGCCTGATCTAGATTTAAACATTTGCTCTTCACAAAGAAAGTGAGAAGGAGCAAGGTGGACAACATGGTGAAGATGCAACGGTGAAATGTGTTAGACGCACATGGTGACACACACGTAGCAATCATACAGCTGAGAGACCTTGGCAAGTGTATTTCGGCTACATAGATGCAAGTATCTGCTCTAACATCACAGGGTTCGCATGGACATTCACAGAATCTCCTGTGATAGGTGGTTTCATTGATACTACATGGACATCATTTCTGCCTGGCCAGGAAAGGGATTAAAAGCAGAGATGGGCAGCCAGAATCCACAAGTTTTTGGATTTCAGACATTTCTAGAGCAAGAATGCATAAGCTGGTTTTGATGTCAGAACAGAGCAAGCCCAAGGGTCAAAGATGAAGTCACTTCCCAGGAACACAGAGGACACATATTACGTGTGGTCTGTGAAGTCACCCAAACCTGCCTGTTTTCTTAGCTTGAGAGGCAAAATCTGTGTGTTACTCATGACCTGTCTTTTGAAAGGAGCATGAAATGGTAGACAAGGCTTGGGAGACTGTTTTCAGGAAGTCCCCAGTGGACATTCCCATGTCTGGGGGCAGTGGGCAGCAGCATAACTGGAGCAGCAGGAGACTGCCAGCTGGCCTGCAGAGATGTGCGAGGCAGCCATGCTGCGCCAGTGCTGCTGAAACAGTAAGTACGTTCACAGAATGAAGTCCTGTGCTTCATCACCATTGTCTTCCGGGGCATGAAGCTACTCCTATCTAAGAGGTGAAAACAGGGACCGTCGCCTTTTTGCAAAACAGCACCCTGTGCAGAGCTGCTCCGACATCAGCTTTTGGGACAGGCTGCCAGTGCAAAGTGGGTAAAACAAACCCAAGCCCAGAACAAAGATATCTGCCCTGTTTTTCTGTTTGCACTTGAGCACGGGTGATTGCCTTACCTCTTGCCAGGGCAACAGCAACTCATCCAGTCAGCGTCTTTATCAGTTATTCAGTGTCCATAGTTGGAGGAATGTTATTTTGATACACCTAAGTTATCTCCTTCTTGACTGTCATTTCAGAAAAGCCAAGCCAGTGAGCATTTTGCAGGCGTTTGGGCAGTTAGTACCTGTAGCCCAGCACTGCAGCCAGCTGTGGGACACAGTGGATGTAACCACCCCACTGTCATGCAAAAAGGATGCACTTACCTGGCTACACGCTTGAAAACTTAGTGCTCCAATGAGCTGCACACCATCTACCTCCTAACTCCTCCAAGTCACAGGGACCTGTTGACTTCTCTTTGGAGCTGACCAAACTTACAAGCAGTTGGTCACAACTAACTAATGCGGGTGATATGATTGTTTCAAACTACTCAGCTGCTTTCATCTTCTTTTTTTTTGGTAAGTCCTCTTCCTCTCTCCCCACCTCAGCCTCTTTACAAGTACACACAGACAATGATCGAGAGCTTGCAAGAGAAAATGCTCTGCTTTTTCCTGAAAGCTCTCTGCCAAGAGTGGTGTTTCCCCACCTCCACGCTGCTGACAAACGCTGATGTAAACAGCATGCTTATGCCCGCCTAAAAGGCCACAGGGGTTTTCACGTGAATCCTGTGTTTTTTCCACAAACCCTGTTACACTGTATTTCAGCTTAAAATGTATCCCCTCATTTCTGGTTAACCTACAGTCCCTGTGAGGCTAAGACAGTTTACAGCAGTAGGCAAAACCACTTAGCAGAACCAAATTCTGAATGTATGCACTTCAGCTGCAGAGCTCTGGCACAAAGCCCTTTCAAGAAATGGTTTTAAGAGTGGCGGTATTAAAATCAGACAAACCAATACTGACACAAACTGCATGCTGAAATCGCCTGAAAACACACCAGCTATGCCTTTGGTGTTGACGGGAGTAAAACATGTCATTTATAACGCCACAAAACTAAACCAGGAAGGAAGCAGACCTCAGAAACTATAAACTGAAGTTAACAGAGGTAGGAAGTACTTCAAAAGCTTTCACGTAGTGACTGTAAAAAAACTACTAAGAGGAGAAAATGTTTTCAGGGTTTTTTCTTGATTGCCTTTTTTTTTTTTTTCCACTTTACGTATCCATTAGTTATTTGGAAGAGTAAGACATGGTTACAAAAGTCAGATGCGGCTTTAAAGTCCTCATGTGCAAAGTAATTTATGGTACAAATCAACAGCTTGATTTTCCTTCCACTCTTCCCCTTGACCCATCCCTCCAAGAGAAATATCTCAACCTCTTTGGTTAAAATAAGTCTTTCACCTGCATCTCTCTGCATTCAAACTAAGCAAACCGTGTTTTGCCAGAACATGGTACTCTTCTCCTTCCCTCTTCATAGCCACTGACTTTAAATGACGCTACTTCAAGGGAAATAATTAAAAACTCCTTCCAAAGTCAAAACCAATAAAGCACCTTGATAGTCAAGAGGAGCCTCCAAGTAAAATGCCCTCCCCCCATCTTCACACTTCACAAACCTTGCAACTAGTTTTCACACCTTGCTCTGGCTGTATGCTACTGTACCCAAGAAGCCTTCCCAGGACCTTGATTTACAGTAAGCAGGGGCTGCCCCTTTAAATTCACTCCTATTCTTAACTATTTAGTTCACTTGTCATCCTCCTTTTCACCCTTTCCTAGCTTTTCCCACTTGAAAGCACTCTGGAAACTATAGCGACCAGTAGCTACCAACCCAGCAAGTAGTGTGTCAGAGGGTCCCCAGGTACTTGGCTGGGATGGGAAGCACCAGCCTGGTCCCCAGCCCCAGAGGCCCTCAGGATCAGCACCAGATCCCCAGCTGCAGGGCTCTGCTGCATCATCCGTAGTCCAGGAAGCCAACAGCCAAAGGGCAACCTCCTCATTTTCCCTTTTTCTACTAACTGTAGCTAATGTCATAGGCTACATTTTTGTAAGGAAAAATACTTACCATTTGACCTTTCTCTGCACTTTTGGCTTAGAACACAGTTCCCCATAGACTTAGCCAGCAGTGCTGCCCAGGTTCACAGCGCAGAATCATATGCGTTAGATTTGCTGTTAGATTTGTCCCACGACTGAAAACAACACATACAAATCGAGTTGGTAGGGAATAAGGACTTTATTCTAAGATGTGAGCTGAAGCGTATGAGCATATGAAGCAACAACCACTAGAAAAAAAGTGAAAAACACATCAAATACTTGTATCGTACCAGTTCAGTTTGAACACAACAGTCCCTTTCAGTAAAATGTACGCACAGGCCAAAAGCGTATGCAGAAGCTCTGAAGGTCACCTAGAGCAGTGGTTTTTCATGTCTAAGAAAGAGGTCTCCCCTAAGAAAATCTTTAAGCCAGGAAAAACACTTCAAGTAACAAAGTAAAAACGATCTGTTAATTCTGCTTGGCACTATGGAGAAGGAGGGGGATAATATATCCCAAGAGAGTATGCATCTGTAAGATGTATAAATTTAAAGTCCCTAGAACACAAGTCTGCTGCCAGACCAAGTACCGGTTTTTCTTCCTCATTTAGAAAGTCGAGTGAAGTACGTCTGTTAAGCATGGGGAGATCATGTTCTGGAGCTAGCTACTAAGAGCACACAGCCTGCTCGCCAGCGAGGAAATTTCGCCGACATGCATGCCCAACAGATCTCTTCTCTTTGTCTTTGTAACAGCACCTTATCATCAAAAGCTGTAAATCGCATCAAATTCTGTAAAATTTTTGAAAGCAAATGTTAAAACAAGTATTTCCTTGACTGTCTTAATACAGGAGGCCAAATGCTGCTCTCCTTGAACTCTCCCTTCACATTCATTTCAGTACCACTGGAAGAAAGCTCCAAGTGCACACAAAGAGCAGAGCTGGCTCTGTATAAGTCAGAGATAGTGCTTATTTTAACCTGGCTCGGGCATGTGACATAAAAAAAGGGCTAGCAGAACCATTTCTGTGCTATTTTCAAGGTCTATCAACTTAATTCTAATGCATACATATATAATGCATAGTAGCTTTCAATTACAATAAAAACGTAATTTATTTCTAAACCTGCTCTTTGGGACTCTAGAATTTTAGTGGTTTATCCACTAAATTCACAAGTATTTTGAGTTGAACGGTCACTTTTATTAACACAGTACCATAAAAGCATCACCTTAGAAACTGCTATTATGGGGGCTAATCCAGTAAGAACAGCGGCAGCAACAAAATTCATTGTCAGGACAAATGTCAGTCAGGCACTAAAAAAAAAAAATACACCTCTGAAGAATTGCATTGTTTTTAAAAAAATACACTGAAATATTCTATACAAGAATATAGGCATCACACGAATCTAAATTTATAACCACTTACATGTATCAGCTGGTCTCAACAAACCGTCTACGTTTGCTATGCACCTATAGTAGCTACAGTTTCAAATTGGGAACACCACAAATTTATGTACCTTCCCTGAGATCGGTAATCCAAAATAAATAGCCCTGCAAAGGTAACAGTGTAAACGCTGGATTTAAGTCTTCGGTAAGAATCAGTCCTCAAAACCCAAGGAGAACATTAAGCAAACGTAAACATAGCAATCATTTCGTCAGTTTTGAGTAATTCTCAGCAAACAGTGGAACCTATGTGAGATGTAGCATCCAAACATTGGAGACCCATCATTTGTATCATACAATATGCTTGTCCTAGTTCACTTTCCTATATTGAACCCCTGAACGCTTCCAGCTGCGATGTGGATCTCCAAATTGTGATCCAGATCTGCTCCTCCACTCTGCATAATCCTTACAGTGCCTTTAAAAATACTCTTTTCTGAGGATCTTATTCTTGAATAGAGGAATGGCGAATAGATCTGTGATAATCCTCTGGACTAGCCACAGGTTCTGGTAAATCATAGCCTCTCAGAAGATGTCCACTGTTTTGTTGAGCAAAGTAATACAGCTGCCTGGCAAACATTGGTTCAACCTTAAGAACAGACAAAATGTTAATCAGACATGTGACAAAATTTCATGCTCCTCATCTTGGTTAATCACAGAGGTTCTAACCTAAAACCAAGGCAGGACAAACCAGTTCTGCTTACCAAGACAGGAAAACTATCTCAGTAGCCTCACTATCTCTGCTTTAAGCTAAGCCTTGCCTGTTCTGCTGCCAGGTGCCTTTCTAAACTGCACACACTCCTTGCTGCCATGACTTTCATTTAGAAGGGCATGACCAGTGACACAAACAATGTATTAGCAATGGCAGCCCTTTAGCCAGCCCCTGAGTGATGCATATAGGCACACAATGTCTGTGGCCAGTCATCCAAATGCATGTGCAAAGTGCTGAAAGTCTCCTTTCCTTGTAAAGTACTTTGAGGACTGAACTCTAAATGCTGGTGCCCCCAGGTAGACTGAGACACATTGCCAAATGACTCTGCGAAATCAGACTTCAGTCTAACACCAAGATTACTCTTGTTTCTGTCCATTCAAGCTGATGAGGAATCTGTTCAACCACCCAGAGAGGTTTGCATGATTTAACGCTGCCTTCGCTTCTGTCTCTTCAGAAACCACTGTTCCACCTCAGGGCTTTGGGCTCTTAACAGCAAATATTTAAGTTGCACACTGAGAAAAAGCACCTGAAGCTCACCTTATCCTTGGGGATAAACAGGTTGGACAACTCGTCCCCACAACCCTCTCCTGCTGGTCAGCCAGCCCCTCCATGTTAAGATATGGGCACCAGTTTGGAGGAAAAATATGCTATCTCTTGTTCCCATCTCTGAGAAGGGATCCCTGCCTTGGAGTAGGCCCACCAATTCCCTTTCACTTCCTTTTGTCTGTATTTGGAAGCAGCTGAGCACCTTCTGTCCTGCCATGAGGGAGATGGGAAGGCAGCGAGGCAGGTGAGCCATACAGCTCCTGGGGCATAGCTGTTTGGTGGGACCATGGAGCCCCACCACCCCACAGGCTGGGACAGCCCGAGAGACTGAGGAGCAACTGGTAAGGGGGAAGCAAAGCTCTGGAGAGAGCAAAAGGTACACAGAGAAGCTGCCAGGTCAGGAGCTGAAGAAGGGGGTTGGAGAGGGGATGCTACAACGGAAGGATGGAAATCTGGAAAGCCAAAAAGGGGACAGGAGCTTTCAAAAAATTAAAGACACCAGTTTTCTTCCCAGTGATTCAGTAAGTTGAGCCCTGCCACCAATGGCAGCATTATCACCTCTCTTGTGGTTTTATGGGCCAATACAGACAATTTAGAAAGTACCTGGTGTCATCACCCTTTCTCAGACCGCATCCTGAAAGACCAACTTTGAGTGTGTGCAAACTGTGGTCAGTCAGCCTATGAGCTTTCCAGCTCCCTTAACCCTGAAGCTGCACAGGCAACTTCTGCATCCTGTAAGGGCTGAAGTCCCTGAGATGCAAGCTCTGGAGCACTTGGCAGCCCAAGGTGCTGTGCAACTTGGATGGTGATGACAATATGGCCCAGCTTTTCCAGGGTACCTTTCAGCTTTAGATTTTGAAGGGATGTGCAAGAAATTACGGATGATACTTATGCTCTACAGAGAGGGAAATCAGGTCCTCAGCCCTACTGTGGACTACCAGTCAGTCCTAGGCAGATCTGGGGATTCAACCCTGGTCTGGAAGGTGCCACATTTCCAAGAATTTATTACCTCACTCAGCACCTACACAAGGTAGAAAAGCCTGACTGGCAGACTCATATCCTCCACGGAATATGCTTCCTTTAGGTAAGGCAGAAGTCCTACTTACATGGGCTGTAATTAGCTTCCTCTGCCTTTGCGGATCTGGAAATTCCTCCCCAAAGCACAGAGCCACCTGGTATCTCGGCAGCGGACGTCCATGGTGAGCAAAGGCTTGCAGTTCTGGGAAGAGAGAAAGAGGCAGGTTATGGTTTAACCCCAGTAGGCAGGCAAGCACCATGCAGCTGCCCACTCACTCCCACCACCAGGATAGGACAGAAAGTTGGAATGGCAAAAGTGAAAAAAATTGTGGGTTGAGATAGACAGTTTAATAGGTAAAAACAAACAAACAAACAAAACCCAACAAACAAAAAAAAAAAAAAAAGAAGAGACAAAACAAGACAAAGAAAAACAAGTGATGGAAAAAGCCATCACCCCCATCGCTCACCACCAGCCAACTGATGTCCAGCCAGTCCCCAAGCAACAGCAACCTCTGCAACCCCTGGCAAACCCTGCCCACAGTGTTACTGATGCCCACAAGGTCATACAGTAGGGATTATCCTTTTGGTAACCTTGGGTCAGCTGTCCCAGCTGTGTCCCCTCCCAGCCTCTTGTCCACTCCAGCTTACTAGCTGTGGGGGTAGGGTGAGAAACGGAGAAAGCCTTCACATTGTGCAAGCACTGTTCAGCATCAACTAAAACATCCCCGTGTTATCAACGCTGTTTTCAGCACAAACCCAAACCATAGCACCACATGGGCTGCTATGAAGAAAATTAACTCTGTCCCAGCCAAAACAGGTACACGCTGGTAAGAAAGACTTTGGATGGCTGAGCTCTAAATGGATGACCCTGGAGGACAGCGGGAGGAGAAGCAACTCCAGGGGAGGATAAAGGAGGTCAGGTAAGGAGAATACACTGAGTTTGGAGACTTTCCCACAGATCAGGGGGAGCTAGGCATAAAACTGCAAATTCTCTATTTGCCTTGCCTCACAAGTCATTTCATATGCACAGACTGGGATGTCTTCCAATTGATGTTTCTATTTGGCCTCAACAGCAGAACCTTCTGGAGCAGATGCTGGCAGTAGCTGGGACCCACTCAAGCAGACACCCAACAGCAGGACTGAAGCCAATGGCTTAGTAGACCCAGAGACTCAAAGTACTTCAGCCTCAGCTAGACACAGACACGAAGCCACTGTCATCACTGAGCCTAGAGGGGGATGGGGAGGCAAGGGAAGGTGAAGGACCTTATTTAAGCCACGCAGAGGGCCGGCAAAAGAGCCTGTATCTTCTGTGCTTCTGCACTCTCTTCATTAACCCACACCCTTGCACAAAGGGAAAATGTCAAGTGATATAATTATTCCAACAGTCAAAGTGTCCCCTATGAAGGATAGCAGGGGAGGCCTTCGTAAGAGACTTTCACTGGGACCAAAATCAGTGTTGTGTTTTAGACACTGTATATCCTTCCAGAAAAGAGAAAATTCCACCTACATAATATCCTCATTAAAGTCTGTGTTACATGCAGTATTTCTACATAGTTGATTGGTAAAGATTTCATTTTAATTTATACTTCTGCTCATGTTTTCTGGAAAAAGTTGAAATTAATGTTAAACCCAATGTCTTATAATGAAGCAACCTTATAATGAAGCTTTTCCCTGCTATACAGGGAAAGTCTTTGAACTTTGCATAACAAATGCATCTTTCCCAAAATACACTCCTGCCATTTCTACTCTAACTGCAAGCTTTTCAGAACAAGGTATCAATGCAGTGACTACCGCAGAGTGTCCCAACCCTGATTTGGGACTACTGGTCTTACTGGGAGGGCTGGTTGCAGTTGTAAAACAAGGGACAGCTCACTTAGAACACAGAACATAGCTCTCCCTACAGTCTCCACCAGAACCCCCTAATAAAAATGCTGTGGACTTTCCAGATGTATGTCAGAATAGAAGAGAGATTTTCCATGGAGCCCTGCTTCCCTCTGTGCTGCCACAGGACCAGGCAGGATGATCCATCAAAGGCCAGTCCAACCATACCGATAACAGGGAACTTCTTCCACCTTCCTCTTCCCTCCTGTTTCACTTGGTCTCAGCAATTCTCCAAATCTCAAACACTTGTACCAGTGCCTCCTACTCTCCACCCAGCCCAATTTACTGTTCATTACACAGTACTCCCCAGAGACCATCCACCTGGTTTCTGACTTACTGCCATTTTAGTCTTCTCAACAGTACAGGCTGCTCAACACAGGCCTTGATGCTCTGGTGCAGTTTGCACTGCAGGATAGAGCTCCTCAAAGGGGTCCACCTAGCTGCAGTCCATAGCAATTCTGCATCTGCCCTTTTCTCTGCTGTCCAAGATTTCCTCTCCTGGTAAAGGTCTCCTGCCTCTCTTCTCAGGGAAGGCCCAGCTTGCTGACTGGGGGATCCCTAAGCTTGTCTGAACTCTGGGACCTCAGTATATTCAATTAACACACAGATGTGATTCACCCATGGCAAGTCACAAACCTAGCTAAGCAACAACACATGCAAAACCTCACCTTGCACACACCACAGACTATGACTCCAACCACATGCTTGGGTTTGCACAGGCATTGGTGCGTAAGTAATTTAGGAGGGGGAAAAAGTAACTACTGCGCTTATCCTTGGGGTTAAGTGTCTAAAAAGAGATGTCCTGTCAACCGTTTGGAAGAACCCAGAGTACATCTGAAAAACCACCTGAGAAAAGGGAAAGGGATTTCCAAAACCATCATCAGAGACAGAATTACATGTCTTCAAATTAGCATGTGATTGAAGCGCAAGCCAATACCCTGACCTCAAATTCCCCTTTCTAACTGTCAATTCTCACATTCACGTGAGATTTCTCTCTTTAAATGCATTTCTTGCCTGACCATTTTGCTAGTATGGTGCATCAACCCTGGAATATAAAGTATGCTAAAACTCTTGGTTTGGGTTTGATGCTTTGGGTTTTTTAATTCTGCAGGGCATTATTGTCTTGAGACAGTCATGCCAGTGCTGGTGCTCTCTTCTAATGGGAAAACATAGCTAACCACAGGCACACAGTTCACATATAGCAATGCCACACACCTCAAAAAAGGGGCAAATATCTATTCCTGATGTCCACACTGTCCTCTGGAACACTTACTGTCTCCCACCAGCTTCCCTGGGTGGAAAGCTTTCCTCCCTCTAATCTAACTGATCAGAAGTGCTGCAAAGTGGGGTTGAGGGTCTGCCCATTCCCTCCATAGGCTGGAAGCAGAAGGCACAGTCCTGAAGTGTGCCCTTGCTGCTCTGTACTACCCTGTGCAAAACAAGACCTTCCCACAGAGCTCTGGAGAGGTAATGCACATCCTTCGTAAGAGTACTAGGGAATCCTGAAGCTCCAGGAGCTCTGCTCCTTTTTACCCCCAGGATATCTTTCAAATACTGCAGAGCCTGAAAAGAACATTTTCTACTGAAATTCTTGAGGATATTTGTGCACTCTGAGCAAGATCTCAGGCTCTCTCTGGGTCAAGTTGAGGCATTGCGAGTGCTGACAACAGACCTACCCAGGACTTACTTACACTAGCAGATCCAAGATCAGGATTCACTTTCCTGTCACTCAGTTTGTGGAAAGACTATTTCATTAGGTTCCTCCTTATGCTTCTTAAGGATAATGTGAGGTTTTGGGTGCCACCAGCTGAGCATGAGTCCGCTCCTGCTTGTCTGTGCAGGAGTACTGAGCAAGCACAGAGAGCAGAATTTGACAGGAATATTCAGAAGTCAAACACCCCTTGACTATGCTTGCCCAGAAGAAGTGAGGGGTAATTCTCACTGTAATTCATAAGGTCACATTAAAAGAGCACTTCCGTAAAGCTCTCACCGTAAAGATGTCACCCATAGAGCAACCAGGTGACACTTCCAGAAACCATATCAAGGCTGCAGCGGGAATTACCTGCTAAAAACTGCTGAGTATCAAAGAGCTTGCATGTTTGGTCCCTCTCCAGCTTGTTGGGTCGGTCACTGCAAAGAGCCAGAGGCCCATCCCAGTAGATCCTGCTCTGGCAAAGTCTCTTAGCATAGAGGCCATCAGGTGCCATCCACAGTATTACTCCTCGTTCCAGGTGGTTCAGTAGTTTTTCTATGTTCTTCCTCTGGCCATTATCCTCTGGATAAGGAAAGATAACTTGGTCCAGGCTGCTGACCTCATAACTTTGGCCATGGGATATCCTACAGCCTTCAGGACTAGAAGTTGTCACCTCCTTTACCAGTATTTCACGGTAATATAAGCAGATGTGGAGTCGGCAATCTACAAGGAGAAAGAAGAATCACTGTGATACATTAGTATGAATGTTTTATGTTTCAGATCTGTACTAAGGCCAACAGACAAGTCCGCATGAGATAGCTGAGCCTGGTGGTCACAACCACCCAGAAGCTCACATTAGCAAAAATCATATAAAGAAATAAATACTTCTGGGGTATGGCAGCATTAATGGTGCCTCATTTTATTGTAAGGGCTACTGATGTGGGAATTTGGTAGGAACTAACATCCCACAAACTTCATATTTCAATTTTTTCCTCACGTTTTATGAGGAAGTAGATGTGTTTCTCCTCAGATTTTGCATAAAGGAGGTTTCTGCACAGGGGACCTGCAAACCTGCACTCTGCTGCCTTAAGAGAAGCTACTGCTGGCTCCAGCTCCAACAGGGCTATACCCAGAATTCCCAGCCTTACTTTCAAATGGCCATTTGGTCGACTTGGCTTACCTCTCAGAAGTCACACAGAACTGTATATATACACATGCTTCTCTGTGTGTGTTTAATATACGTATGTATGTAAAATATATAAAAATATGTGTGTGTGTACAATTTATGTTTATATATATACCTATACACAAACACACACACATACATACAGACCCTGATTCAGGAGAACAAGAAACCTGCCAAGCAGCATGTTATAGGTTTATTCATTATTTCTGTAAAAAACACATTCCCAGAGTTATTCACAAAGTCCCCCAGCACCTGGATGTCTGCAAACCTGTCTGAAGTAACTTCCATTTTCTTTCCCAAACGCCTTACTTTCACCAGGAATAACGAAGCAGAGCAAGGCCAGATGGCACCAGCAGGAGCATAGAAAAGTATCCAGCTACCACCAGGTTTTGTGGGAGCTCCTCCCAGATAAGAAAAGTCACTGACCCCCCCAAAATTTCCAGACTCCCCTGGGAAGGCCTGATTTGGTGGCTCACCAAAGCAACCCAGCAACTAACACCATGAGCCAGAGAAGCACTTCCATAACTTTAACCACCTACATCCCTTGGAGCTGGGGCTACATATGCTGAAGTATCATGGAAAACAGAGGCTTAAGACCATACACCAAATCCATTCATTAAAGAGGTTCCTTTTTTATTTTCCTTTATATCAGAAAGAAGAGATGGTGCCAGGACAAGTCAGAAATGGGAGTCTCTTGCCAAGCTCCTCAGAAAGCCCGGGGGGTGACGGACCTTACCTGACAGGGCGAGGGCTTCACCAGACCTTATGCTTGGCTCAATCGGGATGCCAGGAGCCTGAGACTCAGGAGGGGCACAAGCATAAAAGGTTCCTGTCACCTGACAACCTGTTTTCACAAACAAAAGTCAGTGACAGCTGCCTAAAAGCTAAAAGAAAAGTCTGGGTAGAGGTCATAGCGATGCAAAAGCGAGATTTTCTGGGTCCACCAGGAACGTTCTCTTAACCCCTTCTTAAAAAGGACCTATTTCCCAATTATTCCAAATATGTCAACTTTACCAATCTCTCCAGATGTGATTTGAGCATTTTTATTTGGGTCTGCCTGAAATAATCCCTTAACATTTCAGTATTCCTCCTAGCCCTTTTCTCCTTATCTAACATGTTACTATAGAATAATACATTATTCTAATTATTATTCTAACGTATTATTCTATAATACATTATAGAATGTGAATATATAAAAATATATATAAATATATATAGACTGTATTTTATATAGAATATACTAAAATATGTATTATTCTATAACATATTATAGAATAATACATTGTAATATATTTTGTAATACATTATAGAATAATAGCACAGAATAATAGCATTATAATAGCACAGAAATTGTTTACATTTTTAATTAGACTTCAGTGCTCTTAAAAGTAGCCTGATGAAACAACTAATTTCATATAAGGAATTTTACTAAAGACTGGCATAACAATATATCTGGAATTAACACTCTTTTTAAAAGTAGGGAAGGAAAACCGTGCTACAAGAGATTGTTAGGGTTTTATTACTAGGACTACTAGCAGACTGCTTCAAGAGATGCCTTTCATTAACTGGATTATAACATGGACAATTGATGTTTTCCTCCGTTTCTTAATGTCAGTAGAAGTCTTTGGAGGATGATGCAAGTGACTTGCAGACAAGTGCACACTACCTTTCCCAGTGGCAGGACCCACCACGATCAGGAGCTGCAGCAATGCAGATACAAAACACCCACACCTCTAAGCACGTTTTAGAGCCCAGTGAGAAAGCCAATACCAGCCAACAACAACTGCCTCCAAATTCAGCAACCTGTGTTTAATTGCTGCAGAGGATGTACTTCAAGGCAGAGCTCATCCAGCTTGCTACCTCCCATTTTTATTAGCAAATAGCAAACAATTGTGCCTAATAATTCCAGTATGCTGCCAGCAAGTGTTGCAGCGCACTAAGCATTTACTTTTTAGCAGACCCAAAGATTCCTCTGCACCAGAACCTCTAGAGAGCTGTCCTCTGAAAATGCAGTATCTGCTCTAAGAAGTACTTTTTCATTTCCCATCCTTCCCTGTCCTTCTGAACCAGCTGCTTCTCCTCATAATGCAAATGCCTGCATTGTCAGCTGAGTTATCTGCAAGGGTCTACAGCATACAGTTCCCTTTCTCTTATGTTTTATCCCCTGCAGGCTTTAGCACTGCAAATTTTCACGATTCAGGCTTTTTCCTAAGGATGCAGAGCTTGGAAAGCCATGATTATGTTAGGTTTAGTACTGTGAGATCTCTGGGGAATGGAACGTCCCTTTATTCTGTTTCTGCTGTACCAGCCCCAAAAAAGACTCAGTCCATGACAATTTGTCCCATTTGCTGCAGCACTAAAATAATAATTTCATCTTTCCTCTTGGGAGAATAATACCATTCTAATCCACAAGGCTGGAGGGAAAACCTCACTGATGTGTGCCTCAAAAGATCCAAAATCAGAAAGCAAAGCTAAAGAACACATGTTCCCATTTGAGGTTTAGCAGCGGGTTGGTTGAATTCTTATTGCTCAGGGCTTTTGAGACAACTGAGGACTTTGGGGGGGCTGACTTGTATCAACTCAGAGCACTGCGTATGCCAGAACATTGCCACCACACATATGGTGGCAATGAGAGCAAGAGCCAGGACAAATGCTCTTGCCATGGACAGCGTAACCCTCCTTTTGAAAGGAACCCAGCTACTTCTGTTAATTCCAGTCAAAGCCACGACTAAGAAAACTGAAATCTGTGGTCCTTCTAGGTGAACAACCTCAGCAAACAACCCTAAACGGGAGCCTCTTACCATTTTCACAGCCGGGCCCTTGCCAGTGGTGACTGCGAGCTGCGAAGGGGACGCTGGCACACTGGTAGGGGATGTCAGGATGTGGCTGCTCTGGGGCAAACTCCCTCCAGTTCCGTTCATGGGGCACCATGTAGTTTGGTACCTATTCAATTTAATGAGATATTCTTTTACTCAGCAGCTGTCAAAACTAATGCTAGGCATTACATCAGCTTTCACATCTCAGCTCCTTGATTTTCTCTGCCAAAGCCCATGGAGGTCTAAGCATTGCCCAGGCTACACGCCTGGCACCTTGCCACCACCACCAATGAGGCTTTCAAATGAACTTCTCACCACTGGTGTAAATAACAAGCAGGGTGGAATAACAAAAGGCAGTCAAAGCATTGCTGGTAAATGTCTGCTTGGAAGAGCAAGGCTTCATTGGGTGCTCACATTCTGGCACCAAAAGAATGGCAGTGCACTAATATCTATCATGCAGCAGAAAACAGCTATTACTCAGGGATAAACACCACCAAGAGAAATCATTTTGCCCTGTGGCCTCATATGACATTAGAAAAGTTGCTTCTCAATTTCTCAGTTTTTGTAATAAAGTTTCTTCCCAAAGAGAACTAGAGAGCCACGCCAGCAAAGACAGACACAGCACATAGCACAGAAATGATGCTGCTCAATGTACAAGCACCAAGTGAAATGTGTAACTGATGCCATACCTGAGATGGGAGTGAAGTGTAAGGAGATGGTATTGGAAATGGGTGGTTCATCATTAACGGTTGTTCCTCCATGCTGATCTGTTTTGCACCTATGTTCACCAGAGGGATGAAAAAAAATAATGTCAAACGCATCTTGAGGAAACCCGAAACTGGCACACTGAAGACAAATCCATACAGCCTGCCTTTGATCAAGAAGAGGACTAAAGTGCCCTCCGGCACCCACTTGGGACAGGATTCCCAGCCCTCAGCTTGCAGGCAGCTCCAGGACGCCTTCAGTCCTGCTGGGCTCTCCAGTGCCCCACAGGAAGGTGCTGCCAGGCCATACTCAGTGTTCCATGATGTCTTCCCCAGGCTCTCCCAAGTCTTTGCCTCCTGCAAGCCCAGTCTATCACTGCCCCCAGCCTCTGCCCAGGAGGCTTCAGGCTGAGCATCCGTTGCTCCCAGCAGTTACCTACTGCTCAAATCACTTCTGCCCTTCCCTGTATTCAAAACCTAGATCCAGCAAGCCATTTATTTTCCTTTTAGCCTGTCCCTTGAGCCGCTCACTTGGCTCCCGCTACACAGAACTGGCAGGGAGGCTCCAGCTGAAGGAGCAGTTCCCCCAGCGATGTGAAGGGCGCCTGTCTGCATCTTCTGCAAGGGCTCCCTTTCAACACTCCCAACAAAATGCCAGCAGTCCTCCTGCAGACATGGCCTCTGAAGTCAGAACAAGCTGCACTTGAGCCCTGCATTCTGGCTCCTTAAAAGACTTTAAAAGACCACAGGGCCATTCCACACAAGCACACTTCAGTCCTCATGTGCTTACAATGAGATGTATTCACACTCTGTTACACAGGGAATTTGAGATGCTTTACCTTTTTTAGCTCCTTCTGGCACTATTCTGTACACTTTATAGGGATCTGAGATGTCCAGCTGGCTTCTCTCTACCAGTTCTTCAAAGTCATTGCTCTTGTTCAAAGCACACCTTAATCTTGTCTTCCAAGTAGGGGGATCTGGTTTATCAATGCCCTCTCTGAACTTTCCTTTAAAAAGAGCCCAAGCCTGGAAACATTTCAGATAATCAAAAGAGCAAGAAAAAGAAGAAAAGAAGAACAAAAGAAAAAAAGAAATATAATCATCTACAAGGTACAAGTCCACAATGCTTGAAACAGCATCTATATCTGTGCATATATGTGCATGAATTTACTCCCTACATGTTTAGGCTAAGAAAAAAAGAAGCATGGTAAAGCAGGAAAAACAGTTTACCAGGCACAAGAAAGGGGAGAAAACAATCCAAGGCAAATATAGAAATGGATGTGCCATAGTCCCACAGGCATTTAGCTCCACATAGACTGAAAGGGCAGACTTTCTCATTCTGTAAACATGGGGACATCAGGGCACATCTAAGGGCACAGGTCAGGCAGTGGCAGCCACAGGCACCCAGCAGAACCAGGTGGCAAGGATGGGATGGCAAGGAGCCACCGCAGAGCCCCCGGGCATCCCTCCTGCCCCAGCTGTGCCCCACAGCCTTGACCCCAGGCTAAGCCCTACCTTGAAGAGGGCAGCATCCTCCTCACGGTTGTAGTCCTGCTTGCCAGCATGTTTCCAGGGGATGCGGAAGATGCTCTTCTCATCGTTCTCCCACATTAGCCCCGGGTACTTGCCGCTGTCTATCTGGTCGATCAGCCACTGGCGGAGTTTCCCGTTGCCACAGCTCACCGAGTTCATCCCGCACTCACCTGGCTCCAAGTTCATGCCACTCGTGTCAGGGGTCGGGTGGGAGGTTTTGTGGTGCCTCACCAAGCCCACCGCTCCACACACACCCAAGCACCAGCTCTCTGGCGGGCTGCAGAGGAGGGGGAGAGGGGCAGGAAGGAGGGAGAGGAAAACCCACAGGTCAGGTGATGGACCAAGTCCCCATGCAGCAGCTGGCCAGCAGTCCCCAGTCCCTGGCACCACATGTATCACTCCAAGCAGCAGCTACAGAAGGCAGGGGGACTCCAGGAGAGCCCCAGGGAACAGAGTACGGAGCCTCAGGAAATTGAGAACAGCCCCCCCGGCCTTCCCCATGCACCACTGGTGCTGCAGACTTTGACAAACTTCCCCCCCTGTCCTGACACTGTTCTGCATGAACATACAGGGGCTGCCAAGATTCGCATCACAGGTGACATAAGGCACAAACCCCTTGTCCTGCTCAGAGTTCAACTGGGCTTTTTACTTTTTAATGAAAAAGGTAAAAAATTGCATAAAAATAAGGACATGACAGTGCACATCTGTAACATTAGACACGCACACACAATTTGGAGAGCTTCACACACAGTTATGATTTATACGGCATCTAACTATAACATCAAAGTAGTTTTCACAAGCTCACTTACGCAAGACACATTTGAACACATGATGTCCTATACATATCTACCCCTCCAACTGCTCCCAGCACGCATATGTAGCAACATTCAAATCTATACATAGCAAATACCTAAAAGTGGAAAGACAGCAACCCACAGAGCCCGGCATAAGGGCACTGACTCTCCCCAGGCACACGGGAGCTTGCAGGCAGCCACCCAGAGCCCTACCCACGTGCAGAGCCCTGGGAGCTGCGCAGCTCTGCAGTGATGGGCACCCACTGGAAAGGTTCTAACATGAGGACCTCAACACCAGTGATGGGGACTTGGCGTCAGGTTTGTCTCCCCGAGCTTAAAAGGTGCCCAAAAGCTTAGTTTGGTGGGTTCTTCCCCCCACCCCACGCACGATCTAATAAAGTGATTCCTCACCCACAGCCTTTGCCTCTATACACACAGACACTTTGAGAGAGCCTTGTCCGACAAGCGCACACTATTGGAGCAGTTAGGCAGCTCTGCACCCCTGACACCCCTCCTCAGCCGGCAGCATCCCCCCAGACACCAAACCCGGTCCCCGAACTTCTCCCCAGGGTGCTTGCGGGTGGCCAGGGCCGCGGCTCCCCCATGCAGGGAACCCCTGCAGAGACCCCCAAAAAGTTCTTTCCCCGCCAGGCAGAGCATGAAGCGGATTCCCCCACACCCGCTACCGCGACCCTCCCCAAGACAGGAGGAACCGGCAGGGCCGGTGGCTGGTGCGTGCCTTCCCCTTGGGAGCAGAAAACAGGGCAGGTATTAATTACTGTTCTGCTTTAAATTAGGGGGCAAATCCTACAACAACAATTTTAGAAGAGCCAAACGGCTCGCTCAGGTGCCGACAGCAGCGGGGGAAGCGCACCCCGGGGGAAGCCGAGGTGCCTGCATCACCCATCCCTGGTTTTCTTCCCCGACTCGTCGGGTCCCGCTCTACCGGAGCGGCAGGGCGGGCGGAGCGCTGCGGCGGCCCGGGGGGCCGGGGAGGGACCCGAGGGGACCCGGTGTGTTCCGCCGCCGGCGCTTACCTCTGTGGCGGAGATGAGAGCGGACAGGGGCCGCTGGCTGCCGAGGCGGCTGATGAGACGGGGCGCACCGCGACTGGGCCAGCGGCCCCGGGAAGTTTCTTTATATGATGGAGGGCGTCGTGCCCGGGGGGACTGGGCGGGGGGGGGGAAGGCGGGCCCCGGTCCGGAGGTGGAGCCGGCGGAAGGGAGCGGGGAGTTTGTGAGCTGGAAAACATTTGAGGCAGTGACACATACCCGTTGCTGGTAAACAGGCGCCGCGGGGCGGGGGGGCGGCGCAGCCCGGCGCCCTCTCTGCGTCCGCGTTGGGTGGGTTTTTTTTTATAAATCTATACAGAGACAGACACACGTACATAAATAACCTGGGGAAACTCCTACCTGTGAGAGCCAGGCGGCTTTTACTGTAAAAGACCCAGCGAGCTACACCCACCAGAAACTTGGTAGACGGCGCCGGCCGGGCCCCGGGGCGGCTCGGGGGGACGGTGGGAGCATCCGGCCGAGCACCCACATCCAGGGAACCCCTGCCACCCAGCCTAGCTTCTCCCAGGCTATCGAGCCGGGATCGCGGAGGGGTGTGAGAACACACCCCTGGGGCGAAGGAAACCAGGCGGGCTCGGGAGCTCCTCTGGCGACCCGACCCCATGCTTTGCAGGCCGTGAAACGGGGGGTAAGGTGGGAGGCAGCGAGCCCCGAGGAGGCGGCCAAAGCCGGAGGCGAGGGCAGCCGGTAGCACCCCCCGCTGAGCGCAGGGGATGCTCCCCCGGGAAAGCCCGTGTTAGGTACCGGCCCCAGAGCCAGGCTGGCTGGTGGGTAACCCTGGCTAGCCCGCCTTCTCAGTCCCTTGACCCAGAGTGGTGGGAGCCAGGGAAGGAGGGTTGAAGGAGCGAGGTCCCGGCTTGCATGAAAGTCTTTCGGGTTTCAAACACGTTTGGTGCCACGGCACTTTCTTGTTGTTGGTCTGTTTGAACGTCTCCAACACACATCCACATCCTTTCTGCTGTAACGTATCAGATCAAGAAACCAGTCATTGCGCACCATGCTGGCAGGCCGCCGAAGAGGAGGGTGCACGCGGAGTTTAGGATATTAATTGCAAATCTTCAACGCCATCTTCTGAAATTTAAATGTAATTATCACCACGTTTTGAGGGAGAAGTGAGAAGTGCAGGCGTTTTTAGGTATGAGGTGTGTAACACCATCCATCCGCTAAAGAAAGAATTGGCAGTGCCTATCCGAAATCTTCTCAGTCACGAGTAAAGGCACCTTTGAAACATTAAAATACATCTTTGAGATTGGAGGTGACTGCCACCGTAAATCAAGACGAGCAACCACAGCTTTACCAAAACACATCTGAAAGGCTTTCTAAAAAACCAATTTCGATCCCTATGGGCAAGACTGTGTGGTACTCAGGGCACCAACTGTAACTTCATTAGGTATAAAACCATCTTGAAATATATCACTATAAAAATGAGCACCTTTGATGCCTTCTCTCTTTTGCAGCTTCTAAGACAACAGATTCTGGGACAGTGTGAAACATGCAGATTTGATCTGCATTAGGTCAAAATCCTTCAAAGGCAAAAAAAACCAAAACCACAAAAACAAAACCCAGAATAGTTGTTCTTGTCCAAAGAAATCCGTGTATAGATGGAGGGGTAAATGGGTTACGCATTCAGGAATCTTTAAGAGAGGAGAAAGTCAGTCATAAAAAACCCAGAACATACATATGTGGAAAACTACCTGGCTGGGTGGTTGGTTACTGTCCTTGTGCAGCAAGAACTCTATTAGAAAACTATCTCCAGTTGCCTAAATGTCAGAGAGGATGCTTAAAGCCAGAACCCTGCATGCACCACTCGGCCTTTGCAAGTTAGTCTTCTCATGAGTAAGGCATGCTAATCTAATTAGCCTTGTTGACTTCATTACCTGGGGTTTCTGGACATCAGCCATTTCCATTTAAGCAGGAAATGAGAATTATTAATTAAAAAAATGAGGGCCCACCATTTTGGTCTGTAAAATAGAAAACTCTGATCAATAACACAACTGCGGTGTCTGCATTAAATGCTGCAGCAGTGTGCCGGTAAACTTTCGTTGGGTGTTTTTTGCATACGCTAAGAGACAATTCCACCCTAGCTGGCTTTGCTGGTGGTCAGAACACTTACAGCACCACATAGCCATCTGTTTCTAGTGATTTCCATGCCATTGCAAGTGCCTGACTCTTCAAACCTTACCCAAAAGCCCCACTGCCTTCATGGAAGTTTTCAGTGTGACTTAGATGACTGAAGGCTTCTTGTGAAAGCGCGCTTGCTGCTATTTAACCACGGCAGTCACCACTGGGCCCCTGTTTTTCACACTCTTAAGGTCACACTGACTAAAGGCATGCCAGGAAAAGTGACTGTTTCTTCTCAACAGTGGCTCACAAACCCTCGGCACATAGAAAGCTGGCTTCTGCTTTCACCAAGCTCTTCTGTAGTCCCAGCTGACTCACCTGGGAATTGCACCCAAGGCAGAAAAGCAAAGAGAGAGGTCAGCTCAGACCAGCTGTCAGGGGCTCTCTGAAATGGGTCCCTACTGAAAGGTGCAGTGCTGAACCAAAGGGCAAACATATTAAACACTCTTGCACTGGGAGGGTTGTGATGGTTGCACTGAACATCCAGCTGCTTGCAGCTCCGGTAGGAATGTGCTTGCAGTGGCAGGTCCCAGTGGGCAGTAAAGGTCTGGTCCCTGCACACTCACTGCATCCCAGGGCAGACCCACCAGTGAGCAGAAGTGCAGCAGTGAGTGGGCTCCTTCCCCAGCTGTCCAGTTCTAGCCTTGGGTGAAGACCCCTGACCAGGGCTCTTCAGAAACTCAGCACAGCTTGTGCTGAAGCTCTTGACAAGTGACATTGGTACATGCATTTTCAGAAGTGGGTCAAGCCCCTAGAACTGGTTTTGAAAAGCCCACAGCTGCCTGTCTACATCTTTAGCTGCCCCAAAACTTCCTTGAGAGATGTTTGAGGACTCAGCACCTTGCTATTGGCACTGTTTTCCACTGAGTGCCTTCTTCCCTTAGGAGTCCTTGAAATTCCTGGTTGCAAGTCCCTGTGAGATGATGCCCGCCACTGCCCAAAACAGAAGCCCAATTCAGACCCCAAGAAGTGGCACTATTAAAGCCTCACAACCCCATATTTCAGTCAACAGCTCTACTTGAGTTCATAAGTCACACAACAGAAAGATTTTCATGCCATAGATGGCATTGATGGAATTCAGATACGCCATGGAAATTTGGGCGAGATTCCCAATTACCTTGATTTATTCCAGCAAAGCACTCACTCTATAAGCAGTCTCACATGAGTTGCAACAGGCAATTTTAAGCATCCTCTGTTGTGGTAACTTCTGGTGTCATAAGCACTCTCTTCTCATTTTGGGGAGGGTATTTGCAATTTTCTCCATTTAAAATAGTGACTCCCGAAACAGTTATTAGCCTATCAATCATATAACTTCCATATTACCAATTACACAGTCATTTTAAACTGTTAGAAATAAAGCTAACCAGAGAGTATGGCCACATCCTTTTAAGCAGAAACATCACACAGTCCAACTGTGATTATTTTGCGTGGATTTGGTGTTCAATGTTTTTTTCTTTTCACGTAGTTCCCCTCTGCTTAGTAACCAAGAATATTTCAAACTGCCTTTCATGAGGCTGCCATCATGCCTCTGTACATCAGCCTCTGCCTGGGACTTAAATAGCCTTTCTCTGCTTTGAAGAGAAAAGGTTGGCGTGTGCATCCAACCAACACAGTGCGAAGCAGCAAAGTGCTCTTCCCCAGTGCTGGGTTGCCAGGCCAGCTTAGAAACCCTGGGTTGACACCTTCAGCTCTTCAAACCAACAGCAAAATTCTTATGGACTGCCCACTCCTTGGGGAAAGAGGCTCTTCTGGGCAAGCAGCAGGCCCTTGGACAACTAGTGCTGGGCTCATGGAGTTTGTTTTATAAAACAGGCACTGAAGGGCTGCGTTGCTGGAACTGGGGGATGAAAGGCTTCAGCAGTGTAAGCATTGCTGCCCTGCCAGCTGCGGCCCAAGGCACTCAAATCCCATCAGTCACCTGAAGGGAAAGGTCATACCATCAATATCTGTTGCATTAAGAGCATAGAAATTCAACAGAAAACAAACACCCTTGCATTCCAGCCAGTCCTCAGAGATCGGAAGGGCTGGATGCAGCCAAGCTTAATTTGTGATTATAACCAGTTCCACACTCTACAACTGGTTACATTCAATAGGAACTTTCACAATTACAGATTCATGAGCAGTGTGGTTTATTGAAGCAATGGAAATGCAGATTTGG